TTGCTAGGGACTTGCCCGGCACTTGCTCTCTACCTCTATTTGTTATCTTACTTCTATCATTGACAGTCCCTCTAGGTTGTGGGCTGCTTGCCTGTGTTCCTGAGAAGCATCTACGGTACCAGTCTATAGAGTGTGTTTTCTTTAGTGAATTACCGGTATGTTTACCGGTAATAAACTTGCACTGTTTTATGTATATGTTTGATTACATACAGCCTTGTGACAGTTTTCCTGCATGTCATAAGCATTTGAATATAAATTAAAATGTTAAAATCAAATCTGATATTGTTTTACCTTTTATTTGGTGTGTGGAAGGTGTGCGGAAGAGGGGGTAGTCTTATACGGCGAGTATATAACAAACTCTGTATTTTGAGTGGAAATGTTAGGGGGTCGTCTTATACGCCCAGTCGTCTTATACGCCGGCAAATACGGTATATATTTTAATATTTTCACAGGTGGAGCACACACTTTCACTACACCCCTCTTGAGGACAGGAGTAGTACCTTAGTCGTCATTTTAGCTAAGTAACTGGCACAGGGACTAGCTCTGTGATTAATGTTAGAATACAATTTTCTAGGATACAAGTAAATGTTCATATGTGTGAGATGGAAAGATGTGTGACACCTGCTCTCACACCTCATATAGCTTGCACAAGTCCCTCAAGCATCCTGAGCCTTCATTTCCCTTGAAAAGTCTACACTGTAATCTGTAATGTCACCCTTTATCTGATGTCAGACATCCACCCAGAATACTGTAAAACAGGCCTTTGAGTGATAAAATGAAAAAAAACAATCTCACAAATGCACTTTCAACACATATGAACTTTATCCATAGTAGAGGGCTATGGATTTTTATTTCATGTAATATTTATACCAAACTTGCTTATTTGGCTATGAAATATTTCCCATTGTTGGTTAACAGCAGTAAAATAGATCAGCTGTCAAACGAAAGAGTCCCGGGAGCCGGTCCACCCTTGCTGTTTCAAGGGACCTGGCATATGTGGCATACTGTTCTTAATATATTTGCTCACCTTCTTGGCACTATGTGTTTTAACCAAGGTCACCTCT